CAGAAACACGGCTGCGACTTGATGACATTCTTGTTTCCATGCTGCTGGATTCGGACTAGAATCCAGCAAGGGGCGTTTCACAGGAGGAGCCAAATTGCACACAGGCCGCTTCAGGAAAGGTCGCTGGAGGCAGGCCACGCTAGGCCCAGCTAGGCCGTGCCCTTGAGCCTTGAGATTGCAAGCCGAGGAGGAAGCGCCGCAGCTCTGGCCCGCAGCAGGCGCGGGATTGCACTTCACACTAAAGCAATGCCCAGCAATCTGTGCATGCGCGAACGCCGTGGCCGTGGGTTGGTGCCACTATGCCAATTCACCTGGCCTGAAGCGCAGGTCAAAAGCAGGCAGATGAGACCGCTGCCTGCCATCATGGCAAGTGATGGATCAGCGGAGCCTCAACTCTGCAAAGAGTTCAAGGCAGTGCAGATACGGTGAAGAGAATCTTGCACGTGGTCGTTGGAAACGAGTTGGCTAAGGGCTCTGCAGACCTCAATGCAGAGTTCCATGAACATCCACGGCGCTCTGTGTCGGAGCACGTGCTTGCGTCAGAGGTCTGACAGCACAGAATTTTGCAATGCTTCACAGTGTATTCCTATGTTTTCGTCTGCAACTCCTGTTTGCATGCCAGGAGAATCAGCGCGTCTCTCGGACAACGTCTTTAGAAGGTGGCGTGCACTAAATGTGTAAGATTAACACGGGGACTCAAGACAAGGCCACCTTGCAGGCTTCCTGACTGAGCTGTGCTAGTAAAGAATCATGGGCAGGATCATGCAGACAGGCAGAATCAAACAGAAGAGTCAGCACAGAACCTCCTAAAAGTTCACCAAAGCGTGCTTTTGTCTTGAGAGGCGAGCTCGAGTCATGGGAATGTCGGCCCATCGTCAAGAGCAAAAAGAACGTGAGGGCGCAGGCGAAGCCATGGTTGCAAATGCATGCAAAATGCAGTAGCAATTGCTGTGGAACACCTCATTCCACATGACAGGCAGTGCGTGCAGTCTGTTTGCATATGCAGTAGCGCATCAGATTTCTTTCAGTCAGTGTCCGTGCGGCCAGACCGTGCCAAGCGACGAGCAAGACGAAGGCGGCGTGCTAAGTTGTTGCACAAGCTTTGGCTCCTTCCTGGCTTCAGCTTTTTGTCACTCAGGACCTGGTGGGGCCGCTGTAAAACCCGACGGCGCGGAGGACCCAGGTCTGGGCCAGGACGCGGACCAGCTGTGACGGTGGTGCTTTCACTGGGACTCATGTGCGCCAATTTCAATAGCATTCTTCCTGTAGCTGCCCGTATGTACTTGTTGTGGCCACTCCGTTTGCCAGCAGCAGTCAGAGTGCACGTGTCCAGGATAGGGGTTGGTCTAGCCACTGCAGCTAGTGTGAACGAATGGACTGTCATCAGTCCTGGGTTTGCCAGGAGCCGCTACAGTCCATTGAGGGCGGAGATTCTGAGGATCTAGCACGTGGACTTGTAGATCCGGATGACAAGGCGCCATTGTCTGAACGCACGCTCTTTCCAGCTGTGCACAGCATCTCCTTGGAAGGCCCTGGTAAGTTTGACTTTCTCGCTGCCTCATGAAGAGGGTGCAGTTGCAAGTTGCTTGGATGAATGTCCGTAGACTGGGCCGCGCTGTGGGGCTGCGCTGCAACGCTTGGAATGGCTCAGTGGCAAGTGCCAACACAGCTGCCTACATTCTTGCTGTCAAAGGTGTTCCTCAAGAGGATGCTCCACATTTACCCCAAGAGGCTTCTGAGGCAAAGCAGAAATGCTAGTGTGATGGCCTACTATAGCCTACTGAGTTGCCGTGGCTTTCTCCCTGTCTGCGTTGCGTGCACGCGGGCCGGGATGCTTTCTGGGAGGGTTGACATCAAACAGGATGAGCCCGTGTACACCATGGAGAGGGACTTAGAGCTGCAGGAGGGATCTGCGAGTCCAGTGACTGGCTGTCGGGCACTGAGTCGCTATGAGGGTGGCCAGGAGCGGCAGGCTACTTCATGTGTCGTAAGGTCGGAGCGCTCCGCCAGCGGAAGTAGAAAAGGCTGTGACCCTCCTGTGATGCATTGCCATGTGCTACATGCTGTGTACAGAATGTGTGCACCTCTTTCAACCCAACACACCCTCCTTCCGACGGGCGCCCCCAAACGATCGGCCATGGCAAGAGCTCCTCAGCACGTCCAAAGCGCGATCTTGAACTGTGAAACAGAACAGCGAACAAGTTCCATTTAGTAGCACTTATCAACGTACCACTAGATGTTCAGCAGGGTCTCATGTATTAGCTGCAGTTGCGCACACACGGCTTGAGGATTTTCAGTGCCAGGCCATGCTTTTCGAAGGCTTCAAGCCCAAGAACCTGAAAGCAGGGAAACAAAGTTCAATTAATTTCATATTAGTCAGCCTCATTAGCGGTTCGGTTGTCCACGCGGGATGTGCCGAAAACAAGCCCCGGACACCTCGGGTTTCAGCGGACCTTTGGGAACGAAATCAGCATATTGTGTGCAACTGAAGATTGCACTGCTTGAATCCGCTCCGAAAGCTTTCGCTCATGCGCAGCTAGTGTGAAAGCAAATCCGCAAACTGACGACGATTGCATCCCAGGCCATGCGAAGCCCTGGAATGGTACATGACGGAATTGCAAGAGTATTTGCGCCGCCTGCAGCTCTCACCACTGAAGGTAGCCAAAAAGTTGAGACGTTCACGCCGTGTTTCGATTGGGTGTCAACCAGCGCCATGCTGTTTATGTGCGCCCGCTTAGGAATGATCTGGATACTCTTTGTTTCACGGCCATTCCAGAGCGGCGCTGACACCTGACACTAAATGAGGGTTTTGATATTCTCACTATTTCCAGAACTCTGGTTCCGCGAGAAGAACACAACAGGGTGATGACTGCCACGACTGCCAGCACTGCAACAGCAGCTGCGCTGCCACCATCAGCAACACAAACACATCCAGCTCTTGCTCCAGCCCCCTGCTGGAAATGCTGCTATGCCCCAAAGGAACTAAATAAATCAGAAGAGCGAGCAGTATCTGCAGCGGCAGCAATGACAACGAACGAAGATTTGATGTGGAAGGCAAGAGTAGCCAACAGCTGCCTCGTTGCTTGCAATTGCAGCAACATCGCAGATTTTTGCCTGTTTGGGCATGTGACGCCTTCAAAGCCCTAGGTCATGTGATAGTCTTGGCAATACACGGGCTGGACCAATATGACAAACGGATTGGAATGGGCTCAATCAGGAACCTGTGCGCGCTACATGCCTGAGAGTTCGGGCTTCTTGGGTTTGATTCGGGCAGGAGAGGTCCATCTGAAGGGTTGCCCGATTTCTGTTGTCGCTCCCGCCGCTATGACGCTGCACCGCATATTTGCCCATGTAGCTGCAGTGATTTATGCGAGTCTTTTCATGGCATTCCTGATTCCTGATGGGCTGCAGGACTCAGAGTCCGTGCTAGATGCAGACGACGATTGGAAGGCTAATCGGAAACCTCAGAAGGCTGCGCTTGCTTTGTCAAAATGCATTGGACTGATGTAAGGCGAGAAGGCCATGCAAACCATACGTAGCACAGGTTCATTTTTGATCATTCCGTTTAAATGTATTCAACCTCCTGTTTGTCTCAGCGTTGATCTTTGTCAGGCGAAGTCACGGTCCAATTACAGCGTCAATTCTGTGACGTCCGGCTTGCCAAGCTTGCCTCTGACATGGCTTGGTGGGCTCCGGCGGCGACTCCTGAATCGTCAAGGTGCTTTGCACTTGCTGGCTCGGTTCATCGGAGCTCTAGCCAAACAGCGTCCTTTTTTTGGAGGTTTGCCAGCGGAGTTGAACATGCAACAAACGAATGCAGCAGGAACGGCTCCCAGAGTGTCTCCTGATGATGCCTGGAGCTCTGCTGGATTCGTCCGAGTTGGGGAATGAAGCCACCCTGCAGTTGAGATGTTGGGCCATCCTCACTATGTTTTGCGGGCGGAGAAGATAAGGTCATGACGCAGTCCACGCCGGTGACACCTGTGACACAGGGACGTACAACCAGTAGGGCAAGGCCCTACCAGAAGTGATTTTGCTGCTGTGCAGACTTGCGGATCTTGCAGATGGAAGCGGGGCACATGTTCAATAGAAGCGCAATTCGTTGATGGTACTGCTTCCATTTTGCATCCTTGTTAATGGACTTCGATGCTTTCCAGATCAATCGGTTGACCGTCCAGCACAAAGCTTTCTCCTCGATAGCGGTAATACATGTTGTACTTTTGTGTTGGAGAGGAAAACTGTGATGAGTAAAACCGGCCGTGCCGGCTGTGTCTTCAATGAACAAAAGTGCTTTGGACGTGCCAGAAAGTACTTCCCTTCTGTGTGCTGCAAGGGTGCGGCGAACAGATATCAAGACATGCCTTGTGCCCAATTCGCTGGCGTCCCTCGGCAATCACCAGGGTAAGCGTCACCAAGTGATTCTGTTGCCAAGACCTCCACTGAGCTTTTTGTACGGATCGCACCCGAAGGGTGGAGAGTCCCTTTCAAATAAATCGGTGTTTCCATTCCCAGGGCAGACTGCGCTCCCAGCCGACAGCTCGCCTTTTCATTGAAAACCAATCTCAGAACTTACTTGTGAGTGCCATGACAGCGGGAAGATGGGCAAGTGCAATCCTGTCATCTGCGTTCGGACCCAACTATGCGTCCTTTTTCCAAGCAGCACAGTGCATGAACGGCGTCGACCCATTCAAAGGAAATAAGCGTAAGACTGCCTGAGACATTTACAGCTGACAGTCACTGTCACTACGTAGTCTTCCCAGGTGCAAGATACTTGTATGCTTCTGACCAGCGAAGAAAATCATGCACTGCGCTCGAAGGCGTCTTTCCGGGTCTGGACGCAAGCATAGCCATCCAGACCAGTGGCAACATGTGGCAACTTTTAAATGTCTGACATCAGATCAGATACTCTCCAAAGAGCTGCGCTAGTGCCTGCTTTGCCCGTGTCCTTGTGCTCTGTTAACATCTATTAACCACGATTCTTTCAGTTTTCTTGTGGGCAGGTGAGCCTTGTGGGCCAAACAATCGATTCCTTGTTGAAGGTCCACTTGGAAGAGGCCGCATACAGATGTGAGGACTCCAGAAGACAAGACATCACAAAGCATCAGATGACCTCCTGAGATTTTTGCAGTGGCTTGCCTTGCGGAATCTGGAAGGCTCTTTCAGCAGTGTTTTCCGCTGTTCGGATTCCAAGTTTGGTGGCAAGGACGGCCTTCCTCATTCAGAAAACATGTTGCACCGCACCTGGCTGTGACGTAGTAGACTGCTGATGTTGCAGGAGTACGCCGTGAAATTCATTCGCGATAATCCTGGTCTGCGGAAGGCAACGGAGACCCTCGGCTGAAGCAGCACGGAGCCAAAGAAGTCCGGGCATAGATGCGCCTGGACGCTGCCAATCACCATGCATGATGGCTACAGTGCCGGTTTCGGAGTTCTGCCGTGTCGCCTAGGGTGGAAGTGAAGCTCATGCGGCGCATTCGTACCAAGGCTCATGTCAGAACCCTGTAGTTGACATGGAACCACCGGACGGGCTATGCGGTTCTGGCCTGATGCAGGCAGTGGAGAAGGACTCCGAGGCCAATTGGTCATGCCCGCATCTGCTTGGCACGTTATTCCGATTTCAGAAACCGCGGTGTTACTTGCTTCGACACACCCAGCAGCGGGTACGATTTGCCCTAGAGCCAGTGTGACCCCTTGAAGCTCCCACAGCCTCAAAAAGCTGCCACAGGGCGCTGGCTTCCTTTTGGGCCTGGCAAACCTTGAGCCTTGGCTTGGCACACGACTGACTTAGACGAATGATTCCCAAATATTCTTGAGCGTGATCTTTCTTTCCTGTGGCCTTGCAGAATTTCTGCAGTCAGCAGGAAACCTTTCCTTTCTAAGGAAACCTTCCTGCATAATGGGCAGCTTGCTAGCACTGGACAGCATGGGGTGGAAATCACAGACACAGCAACTTCTTTCATCAGGCACCTGGCCCTCGTTTTTCATTTGCAGCAGCTTGGCGGCAGAATACCTTGCAATCACAAATTATGAGACCCCATCTCAGTTCGCCTTAACATGCAGCATGGCTTAGCGGACTAGATGCAATAATGCGGAATGGTCCTTGATGCGTAGAAGTTGCTAGAATTGAAAAAAGCAGGAGGCAGTTGCCCCCTTTCAGAAGACAGCAGATTTCCCGATAGGCATGCAGGTATTTTTCAGCACTGTCGGCTCCGCCTGCTGTTGACTTTCTAAGGCGATATGACATGCGCACTGCTCTGAAGCGACAGGTTCAGGAAAAGAACAGCGGGTTTCTTTTGAAGGCCGGGAGATGCCGATTTTGTTGCGCACGGTAGTGCTGTGTGGCATGTTGCTTCCTGCAAGGCAGATTGTGAGTGGTTTGTCTAAAACAGAGCGGTGCATGATGCTTTCAGGACCTGCAGCGCTATGCTGGCAACATCCTCTTGGCTCTCCGAGCTCTGCGAGCCATCAGGCAAATACGTCATGACATGAAACGGCGAGAACTCGCCAACAGCTGTCACGTCACATTCTCCCCAGGATCATCCACACGGACATTAAGCCCGACAATCTCTTGCTGTCTTTGGATAAACAGTCTGTGAAGCTGTCAGACTTTGGATGTGGCTCAGCAAGGAGATCTCCTAGCTTGGCTTCCAGTGTCCCAAGCGTGGATCTCGAGCTCAGGTGCTATCGACACGGAGGAATCCATGCAGGCATCCCACATTCGGAGAGCGTATGCGAGCAGCCGGGTGCCACAGTTGATCTTGAAATGTCATCCTGGGACAAGCACGCTCAAAATGCCTGAAGGTAATGCTATTCGCAGTCAGCAGTTTCATATCATAGGTCCGCTTGTCAAGTTGCCTTGCTCTGACTTTTCGATCTTGCTGGACACACTTGTGTCGGCTGTGCTAAAGTTGCAAAGGGCGCGTCTTGTTTTGGCCCATCGCCCGAAATCAGCGTGTGTATGCTTGCATACAGCAGGGCAGGCAGTATCAGGATCACAATTAGCCACATGAAGCCGTGTCCAAGCGTGGTTACACGGATTCCTCAACCTGCTTCAGGCTATCGCCCACCTGAGATCATCCTTGGCCAATCGTGCCTGATCTGCACATTCGGCTTGCTCAAGATCTGCGGCCAGCTTCTCCTCGTTTCGCAATCCAGGTTCAGCACGCGTGCGGACATGTGGAGCACTGGAGCCACGCTGTTCGAGCTGGCAACCGGGCAAGTCCTCTTTCCTGCCCTAGCCTCAACTGAAACTTTGAATACAGTGCGCTGACACACATCATGAGATAAGGAAGGTGCCAACAATGCGATGCTCTTAGTGGCGTGGCTGAGCAAAGACAGACATCAGCTGCTACTGGTAGTCCTTTGATCCATCAGGACATTCTCCGCACCTGTGGCGCTTTCAAGAAGCAGTTCGCCATATCCGGAAAACATGCTCTCAAGCACTTCACCGCCCAGGCAGGAAGCAACCAAGGGAACTCACCAGGAGTCTGATCTAGCCATTTTGCTTGAGATGAGCTACAAGCATTGTAGAGGGCTTGCTGGCGTGTGCTCGTAGCTCTGAGGGGGCGTCTTTCCGAATCATGGCATTTTGTTCTGAGGGGGCTTTCCGGCGCCGCACCAAAGCCGGATCTGAGCCTCCTGATTGCAGTTGAATGGTCTCTGTGGTAGAACAAAAACTCTCTAGTTGCATGGATCATTCGAGGCAGCAGCTGTCCATGTCTCAATTCCTGACCCCTAGCAAGCCGATCCCAAGACGCCTTCAGCAAGTCGTCCAGGACAGGAGAGCTTGTCTCTCAGGTGCTAACCTTCTTGAGCTTGAGAGAGCACTGCCACATTTGAGCGAAAACGTGAAGAGAACGACAGTGAAGCGGCCATGCCCAGTTTGTTCGTGCTTCTTCACAGCCCTGCCAGGATGTTTACCTGGAGCCCTTCGCAGACCTTTTGGTGCGGGCTTGCCTGGTGCCTGATCCAGCCAAGCGATCATCCGCCGAAGCAGCTCTCTCACATCCCTTCCTTTTAAGGACGAGGCGGGGAAGGTGGCAAGTGCGAGCAACTATGCATCTGCATACCTCGTTTTAGCTGGGCTGCACTGAATGTTCTTGTAATTTGAACCGGTCGGTCGTCCTTTTTTCTCCCCAAAACTAACAGGTTCTTCAATGCTAAAAATCGCATCTGCCGCTTTGCGCTTGCATGTGCCCGGCAAGGAGACCCAGTTAATTCTCTATTAGTGGTGCGATGAGCCACGCTGCTAATGCCGCACCTCGGACCTTACACGCCATAGCGCAGCACGCAATTCGAGATGGTGGCATGGTGGGATGCTGGAGACAACAATGGTTAGCTGCTGCCCAGCATGTTGTTGCTCTTGTTGCTTCACAGACGTGTCTTGGCTGAGGACTGGCCGCAGTGAGCGAGCAACATTTGGGTTTCCAGCCATGTGACTTTCCGGGCATGGTGAAGTTGGGATGAACACAGTCGCTTAAATGCGCCGCAGTTTGCGGTAAAGCTGATACGTGGTCAGGTGGTTGGAAGCTGATGTTAAGGCTCCTGCCTGTACAGATGACACATTTCGCCAAGCCCGCAAAAGAACTAGTGCTGCTGCCCTCGCGCGAGACGCTTTTGCTTGTCATTGGGCATGGCAAACTGGCTGTCATGGTGCCACTCCGAGTCTGGCCTGAGGCGAGCGCTGCCGCCTTCTGCAACGTTCCAAGCTCTCGCCGCGCCCGGCCAAGCCACGGCCGCGAGGTACGGGAAGCTATGCAAGCAACGCACAAAGCGAGGTCGTTCGACGGCTGTGGGTTTTTGAGATGAGTGTTGGTTATCCTGCCTGGCTCAGTTGCAGGTACTGTGGCTGTGCAGCAGCTTGCCGACTTTGCCGAATGCGTTTGGGGCGCAAACACCGTTGACAGAAGCGTGCTCAGTTCCAAAGGAACACTAGAAGCCAAGAATTTGCGTGCTAGCAGTAAGATGTGCTTTGTGCCTGAGACCTCTTGAGGTTCGGTGGAAAATGAAGGCGGCCTTGCCAAACAGGCGGCTGAATGCCACATCCTTGTAGGCCATGATTCGTGAACTGTCCAGGTCCTTGAAGTTGCGGAAACGTGGCATGTTGGCAAGGAGGCCAAGCTTGCCCATGTGTGAGGAACCGTAACTTCCCGTCCACCAATCTGTCTTGATTTAGCAGAAAAGTCCTTGATGGAGTGTTGATCGCTGACGACCAGCTGCGTCGTGCAGGATGAGTTTGCTGACGGCCCGAGCTTCCAGCAACAACCAGGTCCTATTTTTTGCGTGTTTATGCCTTCGGAGCTGTTCGTTTCACACATGCTTAAACAGGCCGCATAGGGGCGCTATCTATCTACCAAGATGCTTCAGCTAAGCTGATCTGTCGTTCCTCTCTCGAAGTGTGTCAGGGGCGGCCGGTTTGCTCCTGGACGTGGATGCAAAGGCTTGACAGCCTGGACATCCTGGAATCATAGGTAACCTTGGAAAGTTTATGTAAAGACTTTCGCCTTGAAGTGTAAGTAAGCCTCTGTCGCCCGCCATTCCATCCAATCCACCCATCTTGTCAGGACAGATTTTATGGCCAGCGGTCCGGTGCAGAGGCATATGCAATAAGTGTCACAACAGTGATGTAAAGTGCTTTGGGCACTCCATTGCTGCATTTGCCTGTGTGCCCCGAAGTATTTCGTTGAGCAGAACAGGTTGAGGAGGAGCTAGTGCGGCTTGCGTTGTTGGTCCAGAACCTCTTGAGGGAGTTTGCTATCCTCAAGGTGCGCTTGGTGATGCTGATCAGACATGTGTCGTGGGGGTTGCAGCTTCATCATGCGTAATGCAGATGTTCGACCTTTGAGGGCTTCCAAGTTTAGAGTCTTAGACAGCTCCTGTCAACGGCAAACGGCCATTCCCCGCGTGCTTTCTTGTAGAAGCTGGCTAGCTTCAAGGGATATTATACCCACGATTCGTAGCTGGAGCTTTAGTATTGAAGAGCTTGTCGCATGTCGAACGGAATGCCTTCTCTAAGCAAGGAGAAACAGAATGGACTAAGATGAGGCAATGGTTGGCAATAAGTGTCAGAGAGGTATCATGGAGACAGGAGTAGCCTCTTCTTATCGCCCTGCCCAAACATGTCTTACCCTCGCAGGACTCTGTGGGACATTTAGAGGACGAGACCCACAGCGTCCAGGCGAACCTCCAGCTTTTGAGTTCCAAGAAGATTGCCGGTCACGTTCAGGAAGTTGGGAAGCGGCTTGAACGAGGATGTCTCGACCAGCTTGAACAAGTCAACGAGGCCAGATCGAAGGCAAGTGCGCTCTTGGGCCGAGCCGCTCCTTCATTCGTTTTGCAGGACATTGCTTCAAAGATGAAATCCATGGCCTGCAAGGCTTGATCTACAACATGCCATCCTTCCAGTCCTGATGTCATGGAATTGCTGTGGAAGCTCAGGTGGATGATGCGACTGCGACAGTTGTGGCCGCCTCAGAGCTTCACTTGCGCACTTCTCTCAGGTTGGAATCATGAATCATCCGCTGTTTACCGAGGCAAAGACGGACAAATTCATCAACTCCAAGTTTGAGGTTTCGTTTTGATGCCTTCTTCGTGAGCGGTTTCAGCCGATTTCTTCTTGCTACAGGCCTTGCTGCAGAGGACCGCTTCGCGCTGCCAAGCCGTTGAGTCCATGTGGGAGGCGTGCTTTTTTTATTACAGGCCCACACGCTCCAGCAGCCGTGTTCAGTGCCTTGATCAGGACTTTCGCAGTGGAGTCTCCGAACGCTTTGAATCCCACGAGCTAAGCAGAGAGGCCTGGCGCCTTGATCATTGCCCTTCGACCCCTTGCAGATTGCTCACCAACACCGTGAAAGGATTGCGTAACGCTAAGCCGCTAAGCATGCTCAGCACTTCGCGCAACTGCGCTGCCATGTAATGTAATTCGTCCGCAATATGTACCATTGTGCAGTTCACATGGCCAACCTTGAGCAATCCGTCCGCCATACCCAGGACCTGTCGCAGAGGCTGCAGGCTCAAGTTGAGTCTACTTGTCGGTCAATTCAGGACGCCTTGCAGATTCATTTTGTCATGCGTGTGCCATGAGGCGACTGTCACATGGCATAAGTCTGAAGGAAGTTTCTGGACGGGCCGATGCTCACCATCTGCAGTCCAAGGCATGGATGGAGGCCTGGGGCACTGCTGGACCATAGAAAACTGCTTGCCAAACCACCTCAAAGTGTGAGAACATCTGCTCCTATCTAACAGTGAAACGACGGAAGTTGCGCAGAAGCATTCGCGTCAACCTGGCTGGATTTGGACCGGTGCTGCTATTCAGCGGCTGGCGGTCCACATGCCGTCATTTCTGTTGTGCAGGAGCTGCAAAGCGAGGCTTTCAAGCAGAAGTATCAGCTGTCGTATCTCAGTCAGGCGATTCCTGGGGTCTTGCGCAGGGTTTTGGATTTGCGGCAATTCAAAGGCCCTGGCAGAGGCTGCCTCCTGCTTGCAAGTCTTGCTGCTGCTCAGAAGCCAAATTTTCTGGTAATGACAGCCTGCTTCTGCGACCATCTGGGGATTATACGCCGCTGTTTGACAGCTGGCCTGCTGCAGGAAGCAGACTGCCAGAAGCAGCTGATGGCTACGCAGCTTGCAAAGGCGGAAAAGGCCCCCTGGTGCATGTCCGGCTAGAATTCTCACTGTTCACCGAGCCCATCTGGCAAAAAGCCCTCACTCCATATCAGGCTGCTGCTGACAGCCATGCAAAGCAGGCAAGCTTCTGTGCTGATGTGTGAGTTCACAGTGCAGCACGATTCGCAAGCAGCCTTGAAGATGCTACATTGACTCGTATCTTGTCTAGACTCAATTTCTGCTACAGTAGTAATGCTGTTGGGAGCAGGCTGGTATTGTGTAAATCCATGCAAATCCGCTAGAGAGCTTGTGCATGAAAGGTGGAGGAAGCACTTGCGCGGGAGGAGCAGCAATGTTGTTGCTTTGGGCTTGGTCTGTCCAGTGCATGTGGCCAAGTGCTAAAACGAAATCACAAACCATCGCAAACCGCTGGCAATCGAAGATGCCCAGAGAGCAAGTGAGATAACTCACAGGTGGAGGACTCTGAGGGCTGACTGCAAGCAGGCCCAAACAAGCAGGTTCAGGAGGAAAATCCAGACAGCATCCACTGGACCACACGTCCCTAGCGTCGTGAACACGCGGGCAGCATCTGCTGAGAGCATCAATACACATGTTGGCCAAACTCATTTGCGGTCGTAGCCGTGAAGCTTACAATTACATTTACTCAAGACGGTCAGGACGCGATGTGGGAGGTCATAACGGTTGAAGCAAGAAACCTTGACGGCACACGAATCTGTCCATATTGGAGCGTTAGGTTGTTTTGGCACAGACCTAGCTGTGAAGCAGTTAAGACTGCCACCGAGAGATACTTCTTTTAACGCATTTCTGAAAGCAATCTGCTCAAAGGAATGCAAAGCGAAGCGCGTGCAAAGATGGCGAACCACAGCCTGGTCTCTTACAGAATCCTGAACAAGCGACCCTTCCAAAGCATGCCTTGGGAAGATTCTTGAATTGGCCTCAAGCACGCCTCCTGGCCAACGCGCATGGTTGCGTAGAAGACGTTCTAGCTGCATCTGGCAGGTACCCAGAGATGTCTGACCCAAACTTCTGAGCCGTTTACAGATAAAAAAGATGCTTCGTGAACTTCCCAATCCCTCGAAAACACGCTGGCAAACATCTCCAGGAGCAGCTTCGTGCCGGACAAGCCAAGTCAGAGGAGGCCAAAATGAAAAGCATCAAAACATCGCTTGAAGCCTGGACAGGAGGGGCTCTGTGGTGAAGTCTCCAGCCATCCTGCAGGCAGCCCAAACCATGGTCAAAGACCTTGAGAAAACAGTGCAGCTTCAGCTGGACTTTGGCTCGCAGGACCGTGCAATGCCAAGAGGATGTTAGGTTATGCCAAGACAGCGAATAAGCTAAAGGAAGAGCGGCGAGCAGTAACAAAGCTGATGAGCAGGAAAGGCTTCGTCTGTCCCAGACGTTTTCCCAGTCGCTTCGGGATTTGGAGGAAAAGGACCGGGCAGTCATGACAAAGAATCATGACTGATACTGCGATAGCCGGTCAAACTCTTGCCCTTGGAAAGACTGTCTAACCAGTCGCCTCATTACTGCTGAAAACGTGCAGATCTCCGGGCACCTCGAAGAACAGCTGAAGGTTGTACTTCAGGACTCTGCTCTTTCCTGGGTCACTTCGAGAAAGTGCACGCACAGAGACCTTTGCCGTGTCTTGGCCGCGAGGACAATCAGGGACACCTTCGCTCTGAAGAAAAGAGCATTGAGCGCTGCAACCAGGCTGTGGGTTCAAGATGGTTCCAGGCATTTGTAGAGTTTTTTCCTCCGCCAATTTGGACAGGTCTTGACTGAGCTGCGCAATGAGCTGACAACATGCATGAAGGACGCTTCCAGTTGTCAGCCTGAGTCAGCCAGAGCTTGTCTCTTCTCTGGGAAGAGGGCAATGGAACTCATTAGGGTAAAGTGCTTCTTTGAATAGGCTAAGCTTTACTGGAGAGGCAATTTCAGAGAAGGCAAGATTGTTGCTCAATCTTCCTGACCTGGTCAGATTCTTACAACTGGTATGAGGCAGTCTGCAGTCAGCAAAGCTGTACTTGCAGGAAAGCCGGCTGCAACTTCAAACCCTGGAAGTGAAGGCAATTATACTTCCACTCACACGTGCAAACCTGAGCAAAGTCTGTGCGCTTGCAAGGTGGAAGCACTCCTACCCTCCGAGTTTACACCAACCTTCCGCAGTTCAGACCGAAGCCGAAGCCAGAGCCAAAGCCGCAGCCAAGGCGGCAGGGTTGCAAAGATGATTCCAGAGTTTGCTCAGTCCGCAACCGCCAACAGCCGGTTTCCAGCAGAAAGGTTTTTGTGTGTTCTTTGGCGTATGCTCTAGGCAACGGCAGGCAGGCATGCAAGCGATGTTGAGAGTTAATGAAGGATCGGCATTTGTCATGTATGACATTGAGGAGGCGGCACCTTCAACCAACTGACATCAACTGAGGCAATTCGCATTGACGCAGAGCCTGTTTTTCACTTTACCTTTGTTTCAGAGCATCAGCGTGCTTCGAGAATCTTGCGGGCAGCTGAAATTGCTGGTGCAAGAATGCGGAATTCTCGATCATCATCACCTGCAAACTTGAAACGCGAAACGCATGTCGTCTTTGGCAGTTTCCAGCGGGCACCTGTAAGGTGTTGGATCTCGGCACAACACTGGACGAGTTGTATAAGCGGCGCAGAATCTCCGGCACTAAGTTTTCGAAAATGGTGCAAAAGTTGACCTTTAGGCCAACCCTCTCCCCCCCCAAACCAAACACCTTGTCAGCCAACAAGGTGAACGGTTCAGATGTTGCAGAAATCTGAAGGCCAAAGCTGTGTAAAAGGGCAAGACTACTTGAAGAAGGGGCCAACCAGCGAGATATGCTGCTCAATTAGGGAGTGTTTGATAAGAGAAAAGGATGAGGAATCCTCGAGGATCAGGGATGGATAGAGGGGTCGCTTGTGACTTCTCC